CTGTAATTAAATCCTTTACAGATATTTAAGCGTAAATGTATTCCAACATCATTCATTAACACAAAAGCTTTCTACATGAATAATATTTGACACTGTTTTCTCTGAAATCTTTCTTTAATATAGCTGCTTTGTTTTCTTTCTCCCTCTCACTGTCACAGATTGAACTCCGTGATAATTGGGACACCCATTACTTTGCTCACAACCAATTATAAATACAGCCATAGTCCTATCATGACCAAGAAAGGAAAAGGTGAGTGTCTGGGCTGGGGGTGGGGTGTTATGTAACATGACTGCATCATTGTGATAGTCTTAAAAGGCAACAAATCAGCAGCCAACAGCTGTTGGCCAGAATGAAGATTTACGCCCACTCAGCTGTCAAACATGCCCACTCTGTCTCGCTCTGTCCCTCTCCAGCTACTTGAATGTAGAAACATAATAAAACTGCCTTTAAGATCCTTGCATTGACCCTGTTAACAATGATAAATGACTAAGACCTTTATGTCTGTGCTCTTGGAATCGTAGCGAGTAACTGCTTTTTGTTGAGAGCCACAAAACGTTTCCTAAGAAGAAAGAAAATGGTTTAGGTTTGTCCAGTACATTTGTCTTTTTATATTGGCTTAAATTATAATCTTGTTATAATCTATAATCTATATATTAGGGGTGTAACGATACACATATTCGTATTGAACTGTTCGGTACGAGGCTTTCGGTTCGGTACGCATTACAAACCGAATGATTCGTTGGACTAATCCTATTACAGCATATTATTTTATTAGGTTAGATTAGTGCACATGCGCATAGAGAGTGCGTTCTTTCACTGCATAATTCAGTCTATTAAAATGCATTTAGAATGATCACAATTTCAAGATATGGGGACAGAAATTTACATAGAAATTTACATAACTTCATATAGTTAATCAATATCACACGAATAGTGCCGTTTTTTTTCTCTCCAAATATCAGCATGATTATAAATGATTTTTACAACAGTTCAATAAACAAGAAGTTAATTAATAGACTTACGTTTTAGACACCATATTGCCTGTTTTTGCTAAATTTCGCCAACAAAAATAAATCCAAACACAGTCTCTGAGCAACATGGTGTTTCGTTCCTGAATTAATCAACCTTTAAATGATTCGGTTCAGTTGCAATGACTCACTTATTAACAGTGACTTGCTGCCACCTGCTGGCGGTTTTAATTTCACATTTAAATGATCTTTTAAGTTTTTTAATTAATTTCAGACATCAGTTGTCAACGTTTAATGTTTAAAATATCAAAACATTATTTATGCATTTGTAACTGCAGGTTAAAGCATTACATGTCCCTCTGAGCTGCATTAAACAGTGTGTGAAAGCATCTAAATGCCATTCAGATGCAACTTCTGTGTTTCCTCTGCATTGCAAATATGAATTTTGTCAATACTGACTCCATTTGCTTGGCAACAGCCCAAATGTCTTATTGGCTTATTAAATGAAAGAGAGAAAAAAGACTCAAAAGGTGATGCACATAAAAAAAAAGACTTTATAAAGGTTAAAAATGCCCATAAAAGATAAAAATCAGTTTAAACTTATTGGAAAAGATGAATCGGCTACATGACAATAGGCTACATCAGCTGGAATACTTCAAACCGGAGCTGTTTTTGTTTTATATGCTGCTAAGAAGACACCCCAGAAGATGGGTCAAGTATAGCTCCATCATTGTTCAGAGTAAAAAATTAGTTTTAATAAATTAAAAAATTTGTAAAAATCAAGGAAATTTCTCTGGCATTTCTTTCTTTTCGCTGTATCGAAAACTTACCGAACCGTGACACCACTGTATCGTATTGAACCGAACCGTGATTTTTGCAAACTGCTACACCCCTAATATATATATATTAACGTTCTAAAATAGAAAAAAGCCAGTTCGTTTAGAAATATTTCATATGTTTCTAACATGTTTCCTTCCTCTAATTAAATTTTTAAAACAAAAGATGTTATGTAAATATTGATAATGAAGTATAGATTTGCCCTATGTCATCAATATCAATTTCCATCCCGTTAGTTCACTGTAAAGGTCTAATGTAGCCAGACTTTGTCTGTTGCCATAAAGCAGAGTATAAAATGATAAAGAATGATAGACTGGCAAGCTGTATAGACTGTCAGTACTTTCTTGTTTACCTGCATATGCCGAAGATATTTGCTTCTCATTGAGGTGCTTCACCTGATCTTCCATTATAGATGTGAGAGGACTAGTTAAATGAAATCACTTGGGAATCCAAAGGGTCGGCCAAGCTTGGAAAATGATACTTTTCCTGTATACCTTGGGTAAATGTAAACACGTATTTTAAATTTAAATGAAAATACCTCAAACAAAACATTTCAATGTCTTTTAAAGAGTTGTGAACGTCACAAACTTTTTAAATGCAGCATTTAGTTGCTCCTCTGAAGCTCTCATTGCTGCAGTCCTGGAACTTGTAAACACAGCTTTTGTTTCCTGCTGGACCGTAAAGTTTGCCGCACAGTGGGTTCCTGGAGCACCTATAGAAGTCAGCCAGTTTGATTTAGAGTTCTGCCTTATGTTTAGTGTGCTGTATGCATCTGAGGCCCTGTCCCAAATGGCACACCAAACCCTTGAGGTCTTCCTCTGAGTTTGCACTGTGGCGATGTAGTGCTGCAAGCTTGCCTCATTGCAGTTTCGGCAGAAGTGCACATCAAGGGCACATAACAACCAGCCGCAAAGGGGGCACTCACAAGCACACTTCTGAACTCTAAAATGATGAATGGACACCCTATGCAAGTTTACATGAAGTGTGCCATTTGGGACAGGGCCCGACATTCAGTGATAGGAGAGTGGGCGGTTCATGGGTGTGAAATTTGTGGCTGAGAACACCCCTTGACTTACAAAAGCCAGTTCCAGGAAATTACATTTCATCAGGGCATTGCAAGCACATAGTCCACACATTGAGCATACTTGTGAACACTCTGTGCCGCAGTGGTAACAAACCTACAGAATTAATTACAAATATCTGTGCCAAAAATTGGCTGTAGAAGTTTACATGAATGCCCGCTAGAGTTGCCCATTTAGGCAGTTGAGAATATAATGCATGCTTTGTAGCTACACTTAATATTTTTGCAGCGTCAATCATTTTAGAGTATGTTTCATGCCTTGGCCAGAGCATATTTTGGAAAGTCTTACATATGCATTTGCTGAAATACTTTCTTTATTTACAACACAACAATGTTATGCCTACATTTCTTTAAAAGCTTGTCTGTTATCTGCTTTTTAGATATCACCCAAGTCATCCAAGGCATCACCAACGTAAAACCTCATCAGAAGTACTTGGCTAAGAAAGTGTTTAAAAAGAAAGAGATCACATCCAAAGGAGCTAGTCGACTTGAGGATAAGCCAGCCGAAGAATTTGAAGAGGATGAGAAAGGACTGATGGAGGAGCAGGGGGTGGGAAGCGAGGAGCATGTTCCTTGTGAGGATGTGCCTGATGGTGCCCAGATCAGCAAAGCATTTGACACGCTCTGTAACATCATACGCGACCGCATGAGGCGGGTACAGAGGCCAGAGCCGATCGCTGACTTCTTCACCAGGGGACGCTATGTACTAGTGACAGGCGACTCTAGCTACCTGGACCCCTGCTTCTTTTCAACCACCCCTTCTGCTAGTCACGTCTACGTCACAATCCAAGATGGCATGATGCCTTATGATCCATACTGGAGAGGCACACCTTCACCTGTCCCGAGCACCCCTTCTGGACCAACACCCTTAACCCCTTCCACACCTTCAGAACCAGAAACGGGAAAAGACGATGGAGGTAGGAAGGAGGGTGGAAATGGGGAGAGGGGAAAATCCAAAAATGGAGAGCCTCATCCAAAGACGAAAGAACCAGAACCGAGCCCCAGTTCACCGCCAGGCCCTCATGACGACAAAGGCCCCAGCCCTCCGCCAGGCCCCAGGCAGCCCTCACCCCAACGTGGCGGCAAGGGCAAGACCTCGGACGATCCCAGCAGCTTCCAACACCCTCCACCCATGCCATCACCCAGTTCCATCCCCTCTGACTCCATGACTTACGAGAAGGTAGAAGTAGTGGAGTCGGTGGAGAAGCTCTCACATGACAAAAAAGTGAAGGGCTATGAAGAGACAACCACAGTGGTGGAGACCATGATTGAGAAGACCAGCAGAAAGAAACACGCCAATAGATCCTCTTGAAACCTTTCAAACATTCCGCACGTTCTATCCATTTCTGCCTCGGACCTGCTCCAGTTTTGACTCCTACCTGCTGTTGACGAGATTCCTAGTGCTGCGCTGTTAACTTCTTGCACCACTGCACCATTGCCTTTGGCCTTTACTGTCTGAAAACTTGGGAAGCCAAAACTTAAATGCCCCATATTCCCCCCACGCACAAAAATAAATGTTGTAACTGAGAACCTTGACACAGAAAACATTAACTGCCAGTTTTAATTGAATTCACAGACTCTATTCCAAAACCTAGTGAGCCTTCTAGGGCACCATCCTTACTGAAACTGAACTTCTTAAGCGATTGATTTGGAACATTCTACCTAGAGCTACTTAAAAAGTGCACAGGGGAATCTCTGTTCAACAAATGGTTTCCAAAGAGTTTGGTGTTACCATGGTGCTAAGCTAATGAAGTATGTTCATAAATTTATAATCATAAAAAGAGAGAGCATACACATGGTAAAATGTTTCAGTTTTATATTTTATATTCTGCATTTTCTCTTGCTTCATCTGCAATCTTGGATGGATATTCTTACTCTGGGAGTGCCTTCTCTGCAAAAGATACTTGCAATGCTGCCTTAGAATTTTTCCACGTCTCGGTATCGTAGGAGGCAGTGAAACAAAAGCTGCCTACCTTTTGGAACAGCCTTATCATCGGGAGTACGCCTATGATACCTTAACATGCTGCCTAGGTAGGCAGTTCCCTAGGTTGTGGAATAGAGCCATATAGCCACCACAATTAACATGTAGAGTATCACCCTCTCTCGCCCTTAACCTCAGGTCAAACCAAAGCAAATGTTTAGTTTTATTTGCTACTATTTTGTTCAATTTAAGACACCAGCATTGCCCACCACAGTCTTGATGTGTAACTGCGACTCAAATAAACATCAAACCACAAAAATCTCAATTTGTGTTTTCTGTGTGTTGTAATCTGTAGTGCTTAATTTGTAAATAGCGAGGTCCTGGAACAAAGCGGGGTGACCGATCCGGCAAGTGATCAGAGGAGGGAGAGTTAACAAAGCATTTGCGCAATCATATTGGTGGACCACCTGAAGTGATTGCCAGCTTGCATCAGTTGCTTTTATATTGTGAACATATACTCTAAACATCATGTTTTGTTTTTGTTTTTTTCCAACCCAAACATTTTGTGTGTGTGTGTGTGTGTGTTTGGGTAGTTTTGTGTAACACAGCTCCTGGGACAGGACAGTTGCAACAACCCAGCGGTTGTAATAAGCGTGGATATTTTGCATCCTCTTCAGGTGAGAGTAGTTCTAAGTGCCGTCGACTTGCATTTCTTGGGTAAAATGTAGGTTTGTGACTTTTATTTAATCTATAAAGCCGTTTCTTTGCTGTAAATCATTTTATTTTATGCAAAACAAACTACAGGGTGATATCAGTCACCTAAACGTGTTGCATCGGTCTTTTGCGAAGATTACTTTAATGACAATCAGTATCCACCAATTTACAGTAGTTTATTACCATGGAAATAAAACCTCCAAAATATGGCATGGATAACAAGCATATCTAATTTCCTACTTTCATTATAATTTTATATTTAAAGGGGACAAAGTAATTTATCATTATTATAAGTGCATTTTCATGAAATATATGCATGCTACAGGTCAGCATGACCATCTTTCATTGGCATGAGAGGAGGGTGATTGGATTTCGGAGTTGCAGGCTCCAAGTCCGGATCTGGATCTGACTTGTTCTGGTGTTATG